AGACCCGTTCGGAGGGATCCTTCACGATAAATTCCCGCGAGAAACAGCTGCACTTGCCACGGCGTCCGAGCGAATTTGCTCCGCAATCCTTCAGATTTGTAGATTTATAGGTACATAAGAATCGGATTTGTAAGACGAGAGGTGCACATCAGTGCTTCGGGTACTCCTGCTACGAGCTTTTGTATTTTCTTCAACGTCCACTTTTAATCTAAATTTAGTAGCATGATTTTCTACTTTCGACTGTTGCTAAGGAGGAAGCTGCTCTTTTTCAATGCTAACGCGTTCCTCGCGATTCATCCCAGCATCCATAACGAGATATTCCACATGGAATATCTTGATAGATCATTTCTTCACAGATCGAAGCTTGTACTTTTTACAATGGCGAGACACAATGACTCAAATGTTTCAAATTATTACTATTTGCATTTTTTTATGAGATATGAATAAAAATTGTAAACCCCAAGAAACACATCAAGTCAATATGATTTTATGTTAATGTTATGAAAATCAAAATGATGATTTTTTGTTACAAAATTTGACTGTTTATTGACGTTAAGAATTAAAATGAAGTCATTATGTTTTTTTATTGACTCTCTCTTTTCTATGTTTCTTGAAACGATTTATATTAAATTCCGTGAGCATCTCATCGTGGATCTTAAAAATGGACGACGCAAAGGTTTTACTTCCATGTCTTCGGGTTCATCGATGCAAAAAAAGGAAATATAGGCGAAAATCACAATGGAATTTCCACATGTCCGTTTCATCTTTTCATACCTGGTCCAGGTCGGGCGTCGCGCTCGAGCCCGGCGCGACGCGTTCCGGTAGGTCGGTGACGCCGAGAACCGGACCGGCTACAAAAACGATTACGTTTTGTGAAGAGCGAGAGAGGAGAAAGACGGAGAGCAGCCGTGGGTTACCGACGGGTCCTCTTGCCTGGATCGTAAAGATGTCCAGATGCATCGCCGAATATGGCCGAAAACACCTAAGTGCGCCCGGTAACAAGACGCCTCGTCGCGAAATGCTATACCGAGAGGTGTGAGATTTATCAGATCCCAAAGATTATTTCCAGCTAATTTATCTAGACAGAATAACAATTTTTTATGCTCATTGTTAAAATGTAAAACATACTACACTGAAAAAAAATTACTAAATCTTAATATATGTTTACTAAGTAAATATTTATTTACTGTAAATAAATATTTACTTAGTAAAAATAATAGTTAAATCAAATTAATGATTTTTGTATCAAATAAATATATGTTTATATTCAGTAAATATTTACTTATACTTAAAATTATTCATACAAATATTTATTAAAATTTAGTTTTTTTCTGCGTAAAACGATGGTAATTCTTACATATTAAAAAAGAGCACAAAAAGTCCTTATAGTTTTAGTTTTAAATTTTTTTTTAAATAAACGTGATTCAATGATCCTATGAAACGTCTGTTCATTAGAAGTGAGAACTAACTTTGGTCGCTCAATATTGCACGACTCTCCTTTAAACAAAGCGTAAATAAAATACGGAATTGATTTGAAATTTTTAAAGTAATCAATTTGGAATTTCTTAGATTAAAAAAATGAATTCAAATCTAATCTACTGTAATTTGATTTAATTCGATTCGAATTCAAACTATTCACACACCTTTAGAATGTAATCCACTTAATGCTATAGATGCATTTGCTTGACTAAGCAGAAGAAAAAATTTTACCAATTTGCCAATCAAAGAATGCTTAAGTGGAAATATTTATCGTTTTCTTATACTTTAGAAGGAAAATATCGGGAAGTTGGAACACATCATCTTTTCAATTTTGGTTTTTTAGTATAAAAAATGCAGAAAATGTTTAAAGATAATTGCAGAATATAGATTTCTGCTAGTATTAACGAGAAATATCGCTGGAATCGATAAGTTATTATCAGCACGATATTTTTTCTTCAAGTATGGTGCTATCTTTCAGGATGTTCTATCTACATATACGATTTTTTTTCACCCTCTATAGATTAATTAATATTTTTTAATTTACATAAATCGAGAAGCACAAAATATCATAGCAATGTGAGAATAACTTGATGTTTTAAAGATATGAAGGATTTTAGACTTCACTGACAGGAAGTATCGAATGGCGCGAAATTGTCTTGCGATGATCTGGCAATTTTCACATCGCTGTAAAATAATTAGACTGATCTTTGACGGTGAGGGCGGCGTTTAGCATCCTCGTGGACGTTAGACCACTTCGCACTCGCGGAGGAGCGGTAATTAACGATACTTGGACTCATGTACTTTCATAAAGTCCGCAACTTTCTAATGTGCTCGGCAAGTATCTCTGTTTAAGCGTAACGGGGCTACGTCGCTCCGCAACACGTATAACAATACCTTTTTCACCTTTTGAAATTAAAAAACGATCATGGCGTTTTAGGAAAGTTTGGAAAGTTCGGGGCAAGGCGGGTGAATTTCCTCGCGTATCAATTACAATAATCTTTTATAAGTATCTGATTATTCGATCAGCCTTCTAGCCGTATAATATCGCTTAAGCAACTCGATTGACAAAGACGATATTGTTATATCCTATTCGTTTGTTTCTTATTTTGTCGCTTTAATGCGAGCCATTGACATTTTCTCATGAATAAGCGATTCATGCTATGAAAGTTGACGAAGAACATTAACTTCATTTCCTTGCTAATATATATTTTCATGCGAAAACAAGAGAAAGAGATTGCAAGGGTGAAGCATCCTCTGGAGGCGCGCATGCGAGAGTCGGTAGTTGAATGAACTACCTCTTCGCGTCTTTCATCCCTTCGCGTTCGTGCAATGACTTTATTATACGGCTCGGCTTGCGGAACGACTTTCCTTTAAATCGGAGGGACGTTTCGCGTGCCTTAGGTTGACATTTACAGTGAAATCCCGAGCAGCGGGCGCAGCTGGTTTACCATTCGCTCAATGATGCCTTAAGGATCTACGGTACCGTGGCTGGAACCTGTTTCTCTTGTTCCTGGTTGCGCTGGCTATATTTATGCGCATTTGCACGCGTGTGTCTACGCATACGCGAACGCATATCACCGCCATACAAATTGAATTGCAACTAATTATGAAATATTACCGATGCGTCGTCCCGTGTGAATGCGAGAATTTCACGCCGCGTCACGAAAATGTCCACCTAACTAAGACGCACAATCGTCCTGCATGAAACTTATGCAATATAGACAAAGATTGTGGACAAAGATATTTTATTTAAAAAAAAAAATCGGAATTTACGTGAAAAATTTTGGGACAATAATATTTACGCAGACATTTCTTTCAAAGAAATAGAAGAGTCAAATAAATCTTTTTCCTTCCGTTTCAAGCATTCAAAGAAATAAGATTTAATGTTAAATTTTTTCTTTATTATAGGAAAGTCTCAAATTTTAATGTCTTTACGATAAACACGTAATAATTTTAAATTAAATATATGATATGCATATTTTTATTTTTGATCTTTTCTTTCTCTCTCTTAAAGTGTTAGAGGATTTTTTAAATAATTTTCTCAGAGAAATTCTTTTTATCGTTTCAGATCGGTCAAATTCATATCTGAGTCCATCAAAACAACGGAATCGGAGGTGACTTTTGTGTCGCCTTTCACGATTCTCTCGTCGGTGTGTGGGCACATCGCGGGGGCCGTTTGGGAAACCGCGACCTCTGTCGACGGCCGAGCGAGCGGGTCGCACGAGGTATAACGCAAGCCGGATACAGAGCTACGTAATTGTACACATCGGCTATGTTTCTGCCGTGTTAATCTTTGTCGTACGAGCGCGTCGTGCGACCCTTAAGGTTGCGCTCCCCCGAGCACGCCACGGAAGTGCGAAATTAGTTCGGCATAAGAGGACGAAATTATTCTACGCAGCTGCATGCACACATACAATATCTAATTCCATATAACGGTTAAATTCGATGTCTGGCTCTTCGTGCTAATTTTACTAAAAAATATTATATAATATTTTCGTATATATTTTTGTTCGTATATATTTTTAAAGCATATAGAAATCGAAGGTTTGTCTTTCGACTGATCGCAATGAACAGTATGAAGAAAAGCACGTTTTATATTGAGTGACTCCAAAAGTTCTTTTCCTTCTTTTACGTTTTCTTTTTTAACTAAAAGCAACACAATTTATCGAAGTATATACGAGCCATTCTGTTCTATTACGTACGTGTATTTCAGTCTACAAGTAGTAGTCAGAAGGGGTGAAAGGTCCAGACAGTAAAGAGAATAGGGTAGAACGTCCCAATCAAACACTAGCAACTTGTTTCAAACGACCAAAGTATGTTCGAAACAAGTTGCTGGCGTTTGATTAGGATGTTCTATCCCATCCTTTTTATTTTCTGGAGTTCGTCTCTTCTAACTATCATTTGTTCCTTTCTCTAAAAAATTGTCTTTGTAATAAAAAAAAGTTCAGCTCTTCGAATAACATAAAAAATCACCTCAATCAGTATTTTGTCAGTAAATAAAAAAAATTTCGAAATTGCGAAAAATTGATATCATGAAGCTTTCAGAGAGATGTGATGAAGCAGAATGGCTCGTATATGCTTCAGTAAATTGTTCGTTCATAAAGTAAAAAAAAAATACAATTTTTGGGATCCTAATAATAAAGAAAACTTTTGTATCAATGTCAGTTATACATTTGTTTATTTTTTCTTTGTTGCTCACTAACTAAAAGTTGCTACACAAGTTTAAATAAGTCGTGCTATGAACGCAAAACATTAATAATAAATTTATATGAATTTATAAATTTTATTTAACACGCGAATCTATAGAGCGCAAGAAATATATCTTTATATTTTAATAAATTTATTTCTCTTGTTGATAAAAAAATTTCGTAAACGCATAATACGGTAATATGATATAATAATATAGTAATATATGGAAATTTCCCATTATCCATGTGATTACTATCAAATAATAATAATTAATTTAGCTAAATATACAACTAATTTTATGTTAAATAACTGTTTACGTTTAATTCGTCACCTTTATGCAAAATTATCCAAAATAGTTGTAGTCTCTAAATCTATTGAATTATGTGTTCTTTTAATATTGATATCCACTATTACCACCGTTTTGTCTATTACTTCCACCATTCGCATTGTCACTGCCGCCAATGTTGTTGTTAGGAGAATTAGAAAAGTAGCCGCCGATATCATTGCTCAAATCACCAGTATTATCTCGACCAAAGGATTGTCCTGCTATAAAACATAAATCGATTTTCAATCAAAGAATTATAAATAGTTAAAATATAGATACGCGTAAAGTAATTTATTATTTTTCTGCGGAAATTATGTGTTCTCTTTATTACTTTATAAACAAAAGTGAAAGAGAGTGAGAGAAAAATCAAGTTTTTAAAATAATAGAATATTAATACTTTTTAATTTTAAAATTTGATTTTTTAATATAGGATTTAATATACAGAATTTAAATATCTCATTGTTATACAAAAGTTTTTCAATACATTCTTGGAAATTGCCACTTGTCTTTCGCGTCACTTTGATTCAATTAAACGGCAGATCGCAATCTTATCGCACCTGGTCTTCCCGACTGATAACCGCTGCTGCCTCCGCTATTAAATCCACCGAGCTTTCCCTCGCCGGGGCCACCACTTGGATAACCACCGTTACTACTGCCTCCATTAAATCCTGAGTTATTCGCAAAGCCACCGCTTTCGCTACCCGGTCGACCAGAAGAATAACCGTCATTGTTATCATTCAGTCCGCCGGAGCCATATCCTCCGTCGGCATTCGCTTCGCCCTCGTATCTAATTTGCGGTTTAAATCCATCCTGATCAGCCTCATACTCAACAATCTGCTTCCTACCATCTGGAAGCAAAACGTTGAACTCGCCTTGAGCATGGTCACCGTCTCTAGTCTCCGTGTGACTGTAATCGCTGCCGGTTTGCTGATCCTTCACTTTATATGAAAACTCGTACTTTGCCGGTTCCTGAAAAAATGAGATAACGTGAGATAATTTTCAAGTTTGTATTAAAAGTAAAAGTATGTAGTCTGACAAATATCAGAAAATCTGGTAAATATTTCTGAAAAAAATGTTTCTACAATTCATCTCTGATAATTGTCTCATTCGCTTCTTAACCCAATTATTTTAATGAGATTTATATACTGTACTTACAGTACTTTCTTCTTGCGCGTTGGCATTATAACCCTCGCCAGTACTTCTTCCTCTTCCTTGTCCCCCTCTGCCAAAACTTTCATCACCGTGCCCAAAATTTCCTGCGTTTCCATTTGGACTTCCAGATGGATAGCCGTTAATTCCACCGTTTACAAAACTTCCTCTATTTGAGTCTCCCGATGGATAATGATTATCATTTCCACCTCTATTAGGTGGACCGTAACTGGTTGATAAACCTTTACCGAATCCATTCGGAGATCCATAGTTATTCGATGATCCTCCGCCATTATTTCCATTCAAGTGACCTTTACCATTCGTATTTCCATTTGCTCCAGGTACGCCGTAATTACTCGAGGGCCTTCCGTTGCCACCGTTTCCGCCCCCGTGGTTTCCGTTCGCTCCGAGAACGTCATAATTAGTCGACGGTCTTCCTCCGATATCTCCGTTTCCGAAACCACCCCCTTTGTTACCTCTCGCATCGGGAATACCGTAGCTAGTCGATGGCCTACCTCCGCTTCCAAAACCACCTTGGTTCCCATTCGCACCGGGAACACCGTAGCTAGTCGATGGTCTTCCTCCGTTACCTACATTTCCGAAACCACCCTCTTTGTTTCCATTTGCGCCGGGAATGCCGTAATTAATCGACGGTTTGTCTTCATTGCCTACATTTCCAAAACCACCGCCGTTGTTCCTACTTGCATCAGGAAGTCCGTAACTAGTGGATGGTCTTCCTTCGCTACCTCCATTTCCGAAACCATTCCTGTTATTCCCACTTGAGTCGGGAACGCCATAGCTAGTCGACGGTTTTCTTCCGTTGCCACGGTTTTCACCAAAACCGTTAGGAGCGCCGTAAGAGCTAGAAGGTTGTCCACCCTCAAATCCATTTCCTCGAAACTGACCTAAACCATTTCCGCCGGCACTTCCTCTGATGGGTACGTCGTAAAGTTTTGACGGACCATTACCTGCGCTGGGTCCTCCGAAACTTGTTGTGCCACTGTTTCCATTAACATCACCTCTGTTATTGAAATCCGGCGCTCCGTACTGGGTGGACAGGTCGGTCCGACCGCCATTCGCACCAGAGGTGCCCGGTCCTGGAGGTAGATACGAATTAACCGGAGGTTCCGAACGCACCACGGCTAACATCGCAATAAACGTTCCACTGATCTGTGACGAGAATTTTATAAATCATTAAGTATATATATTATAACAAAAGTATTTAAATAATGTTAATTTTGCGTCAAAATGTTAAACAATTCTCTCTGTATCTAATGCCATACATCAGATTAAATAATTAATTGTATGATTGCAAGTATTACATAATTTCCATGCTATATAAATTTTTGTCGAGATAAAATCTTAATGTAATGTTGTCAAAGATGTATCTAAAAACACATTATATTTATGATTTAAGCACAATATTTGTTATTGATGCCAAAAATAAATATACTTTCTCATGAATACATGATCAATTCTTCCCAACAAAGTGATTTATAAATTTCGATATATTTGAAGATACATCCATTAGTTTCATGTTTCGTGTGAAGTTAGATATTATTTCTTCTCACCTTAAGCATATTGACGATTCCCATAATGCTCTCCAGCTGACAAAAAAGAAATCGAATTTCTGTTACTCTAGCTATCCCTCCGGGGGAGACTCGCTCTCCCTATCTCTTGTTGCTACCCTTTCAGCGCAGGATGGATTTCTCGAGGGAATGACAAACATGAGGTCTGCTCCGCTCTTTATATATCCCGGGGCTCATCCGCGTTTCTAGATCATAGTTTGGTGCAATCGGCAAGATTTACAGCAACGTTCGACGCAAGTGTGTCACAAGATGCTGCACGGGATCGATGGAAAAGAATCGGATCGGCGTGTACGTAAGCGTATGCTCACGAGAAGATTCGCGCTCTATATCGCTCGCTGATCGAGACTCCCGTCAGAGTTGCACCGCAAATCGTTAACTCGTAATCATCTGGAGCGCCTCTAAATCGTCTCACGTAGTATCTTTGACGTGGTCCTTGATATATCGCTCCGATCTATGCTACGCGAAAGAACGTAAAAATGTATGCTTAGCAGCATCTTTTCTTAAGCTTTACGATGTAAAACTGAGGAGAACTGCCTACATCATGTATATGTGCAGATATAAGAACACGCGTAGCACAGACACCGTGTTTCTCGTGCTTAATTAATCATGGTCTACGTAACCGCATCATTCAATTTATTTTATTAATTTTTCCTCTGTCAGTGGAATGATCAGAAAATCCACACTTTAGCGCAAGAGCCATCAAATTATAGTGATGTTATTACTATTTATACATGTATTATTATCTATCTATTATATTCTATTATTATTATTATTATTATTATATTATTATCATATATTTTGAATTGAATAAAAAATTTATGAAAAGTTAAGATTTGCAAAGCTTAAAATGTTTATATCTCCTTTACGGAAAAAATTAATTGACCTCTGCTCCACGTGGTTGACGCGTTTAAATGTCAATGGTAATAACAAGCGCGTGAAATGTATATTCTCCAATTATAAAAAGTAAAAAGCCTAAACATCGCGACTTCTCGGTCTGCACGTAGAACTGACGATCCACTCTGACGCAATAGACTTCTCTGTGCTGCAAACTTGCATAACGTTTCCCCGTCTCATCTAGCGTGCCACCGCTACCGTCACCTGCATTCGGTACGAATGCTCGGATTGCACAAATTTTCCCCGGACGACGTGCATGCACGTGCATACATTTGCACACGAAGTACCAAATAAGTGCGCGAAGTAACTTGAAGTAACTCTCTAAGTACACTCTCATTAATCTAATCGATCGTTTTTAACGTCGATTAACTTTTATCTTATATCTTATACTCTAATCAGGATAATGTTTCAATTTTTCAGTGATGAACAATAAAAAAAGTGCTTTCCTTGCATTCATGAATTTAATATACTTTAAATTTGTTTTATAATTAATGCAATTTTGTTTTTGAGATATAATAATACTGAAATAATTTGAACGACGTAATTTGATAATCGAGAGATTTAGTCTTGTGTAAATTTATATTATTATCTCTACGTTTAGATTCTATCTTTATGACAGAATCACTTCTGATAGAAGGGTTAAAGTAAATAAAATATGATGTAATAACAAGATGAAAAATCCTTTCATTTGCTCGATCGCTCGATTATATTTTACGTCGAGCAGACACGATGAATGCAATCTCCTTGAGCGAATACATGTCGAGAGAGGATCTTTTTGTGTATGGCACTCGATTCCTCTCTAGATACGTATCTCGTCGGCGCAAACTTTGTGTCATCTATGTAAATGAGAATGTATAGCCGTTCTACATACAAATCTCCTACGTCTTCATCAATTATCCGCGTGATAATTCCTTATTTCAATTATCAGAAAACGCAATTTTCCGCATTGTTTGCTAGTGGCTAATTATGGCTGCGTTCCAAATTTTACTGTCAGTGCTGAAAATTTGTAGTACACTTAATGTATATTATCCGCGTGATAATTCCTTATTTCAATTATCAGAAAACGCAATTTTCCGCATTGTTTGCTAGTGACTAATTATGGCTGCGTTCCAAATTTTACTGTCAGTGCTGAAAATTTGTCGTACACTTAATGTAAGCTATAGATCTTCAGCGCTGACAGTGAATTTCGGAATATAGCTTTATATTGATATTAAAAAAGTATTATATTATCACCAGTGTGTAAAATATCTGTGCATTTATGAAAGATGTTTCTTAAAAATTGAATTTGTAAATATCTTAAAAGTTATATTATGCGTCGATTTTAGATATTCTACATATTAGGAAATGCATTACCTATATTACTTACTTCCAATAATAAGTTAAGATTTGCCATGGTTCATACGACCTAATAGATATTATATTTTTACTTTTGCAATGAGTTTTTCATATAATATATACATGTATATTTACTATGATTATGTTGAACAATTGATTATAATTAAGATTTAAAAAATTAGGGGAAGCAAAATAATTAAAAGCAGAAAAGAAATGAAGAATTATAAAAAAAAACATATAACATGAGAAGGAAAACAAAAACCTCTCAAGTCTCTTAATCGAGAAGAGACAAAGGTACGTCCGTTCTCGTTTTCTCTCTTATGCACTCTCACGCATCTTTGTACATTCTCACATCCTTATGTTACACATCGCGCAGACTCACGTCATATGAAAGTCCGCATAGTTTGCATATGCATGATTCATAAAATTATTGGGTGCCTTCCAACAAGCGATTCAGTACAACACAGTGATCATCTCAGCCTTGTTTAACATTGGCGAACAACAAGGATATAATGATGCACGGTGTCACACCGTGTCATGTGTGTGTCTGTGTTGAAAAGCACCCATTGATTATCGTAAAATAGATGTATGAAAGTATAAGATTATAAATACATATTGTATGTATACAGGGTGTCTCAAAATTCACAAATCAAAATACCATAGTAAGAATTAAATTTTCAAAAGCCAATTACTACGTATATACTACGGATTGTGTTTAGATGGTGAAGAGAGAGAATGCGCATTTATTATTATTATTTCACGCAAAATTCATGAACAGGTGGCCGTCTAAACGGTTGTAATCTGTAATTAACTATATTTAAACCCTTACATCTCAAAAACTGCTGTTTGAAATAAAAATATACATATAACTTTTATTTAATTTTAATTTTTCGAAAATTTTCTTGCTGTGATATTTTGATTCGCAAAAATTCGGAACACCCTGTATGTATGTACACATGAATGGATTCAGCATATATGTCAAATGCTATGTGCATGTGATGTATATATAACGTTCCCCCGCCTGTGTATGCAAACAACTGAAAATGGCCGCAATGTGAAAACATCGTTCGGAGTCGAGGTAAACATATCTTGCTCTACAATGGTTAGAGTAAACGTTAACAAATTCTTACACTCGTGTACGCTGATCGTCTGCAATGTCATGTACACGATAATTCGTTTGATACATTCGTACATCAAGAGACTGTTGAACAATTGGTACAAGAAGTATAAATCTGTCAAGATTATGCATCGCAGCGAGAACTTTTTAATAATCGATAAGCCTTACGACATGTACATAAATAGTAATAATCCTGACCGAAAGGTGAGGACATTCTCATTCAAGTGCTTGCAATTAATGTGTCCGTAAATCAGGTATTAATGTTTTCAGAATACTCTTCAAATGGAATTGCGACAGATGCTGCCGGACTTGGTTAATCCACGATTGTGCCATGAATTTCACTTTGTGCATCGGTTAGATTATCCCACGAGCGGCGTGATGTGCATAGCGTTGAATAAAAGGGCGGCCAGAGCAGCGTCATCCGCTTTCGAAAATCATAAAGTGCAAAAATTTTATTTAGCATTGGTACATGGTCACATACACGAACCTCATATCGTAATCGACAAGCCTATTGGTTAGGAATTGTGATAATGCAACAATGGGCGTTTCCAGCAAAGATCCTATATAGATCTGTTTTTTGTTCCTGCACTAGAACTCTCATCACTTTGCTAAATATCGAACATATATCTATCTCACTTCAAGTTCCAAAGTATATATTAATTTAATCACAAAAACAAACCTAGTATAACATAATGAATCATTTCATCCTTGTTTAACGTTGGCAAATGTGTCCTTGCTGGAAAATGTTAAATATATAGTAACAGCCAGTTTGAAAAGTCAAAGTCTCATCTTGGTCTCTTTCTTGATCTAGGTGCTGATATTCGAGAAAAGACTGGTAATCATAAGATGTGCATAAGTGACAGTATCTTTTGCGACAAGCCACGCAGATCTTACACAATACTGGTTGTATTGGAACATGGGTTTTGGAAAGGAAAGCCTGCCACTAAAATCTTGCTAGCACCTGGTACAGGTAGAAGGCACCAATTGAGAGTACATTGTCATTACATTGGTCATACAGTCATAGGAGATTATACATATAGCGAAGGCAAAGATATAGAACCTCGCAGAACCTACCTCCATTCTCTCAGGTACAATTACTGTTTGGGATATACACATAATTATTTTTTTTATTAATATTATATTTACTTTCAAGGTTAATATTAAACTGTGATATCGAAAATATAGATGTGAGAACGGCGGATCCGTTTGATGCCGCTATATTGTCCGATTATAAAGCGACAAATGTAACGAAAATCTTGGACGAAAATATATTTCGCGATATATACAAACTTGTGGAATAAAGATGTTTTTGTTTTGTATAACACAAATTTTATTCAGCTTCCTTGACACCAGATTCTTCCACCTCAAATTGAAAAGTAATCCTCGGTAAATATGAAGCAAGCATTACGCAAGCGTATCGCGAGGACAGTCTTCTGTAGAGATATATAGAGGTGGTTATCATACTCGACCATGCTAATCCTAAAGCTGGCTGCTCATTCGCACCTTCAGAAATAAGTCTATGACCATCTATAACTGCAGAAACCTAGAAAACAGATATATCAGCATGCAATATAACAATGCATTTATTTAAAATATGTTTACCTGGTTAATGCAGATCACGCACAAATCATTGTTTTTACAAAGTTCGTGCAATTGCCTTCCAATGCTCCTCTTAGTTCTGCATTGTAGCTCATCATTCCAATCTTCTACTCTATAAGGGGCAGCTATCGAATCGATAATTAACAATCCTATTTTA